TTTTTTTTTTTTTTTTACTATCCCCTTATTCTCATTTCTGTAAAATTATTTGTGAAATGACTTTAAAGGAATATGTTATATCCAGATAGTAAATGGTGAAATCTATTTTTTATGTATGTACTGAGAGTTAAACTATTGAATTTTTTAAATTACAGAATAATATATTACAGTATGACTTTTCTAAAGAAATCAGAACCAGTATGATGCATACATAAACATAAATGCACAGAAGAAGGTTGGAAAAGGTAGACAGCAAGCTGGTCTAAGTAGTAACATCTGGGAAGGAGAGCTGAGAGTAAGGCAGGGCTCAGAGGGTCTTGACTACACAGCTAAAGCTGTAGATAAAACAGATATAGAGGTCTTTAAAAAACTTAAAGAACAACAAGGCCAAAATATGATTCTTGTATCCAAGTAAAAGATACAAAAGACCATAGAAAGATGTTTTAATGAAACAACGTATGAAAATTTTAGGTCATTTCGTTTCCAAGTCCAACACATAGTTTAATAATGACATCTAGAAATAATTTTATGTGATTTGCTTTATTATATTCATTAATGAAAATAAGTAGCAATAATCTGAACTGTTATCTTTACTAGTGAAAATATTGGTTTGATCTCAAACAATAATAGAAAAATGAAAAATAAAGCCCAGCATGGTGACATGCACCTATAGTCCCAGCCTCCTGAAGAGACTGAGGCAAGAGGATCACTTGAGCCCAGGAGCTTGAGGCTGTAGTGTGCTATAATTGTGTCTGTGAATAGTCACTGCACTCCAGCCTGGGCAGCACAGTGAGACCCTGTCTCTTAAAAAAAAAAAAAAAAAAGATCTCGTAAAGGTAAACTACAAGGGTGAAGCCATTTATAAGACTCTTCTAAAGTATGTGCTTCATTGCACAATTATTATAATAAATATTTTCCCAATTTTTATTTTATAGTTCAAATTTAACTTTTATACTCAAGGTTTTATTCTGGACATATGTTCTTAAAATCTATGTGTAAAGTTTTGTTTTCTGTCGTACAAACAGTACTGAAATTTTTCATGCTGTCTTAGTTTTTTTTTTTTTTTTTTTTTTTAAGGCTATTTCCATGCTTAGTAAATTGAAACATATTTCTTTTTGCAGACCAACTGTACAAGAAGAAAGAAAAATCATAATAAAAAATGGAAGGCATCCTGTGATTGATGTGTTGCTGGGAGAACAGGATCAATATGTTCCCAATAGTACAGATTTATCAGTAAGTACCATATAATACAAAACAATAAGTCAACATAACATCCCAAACTTTTAAATACGAAAGAAACATTTTTATAATTAAAAGTTACCCAAATTTCAACTTTGGCTTTAAATGAGCTAAGTCTGGACATAGTTTTATATTTACCATGAAATGTGAAATTGGTGCTATTTCCAATGAAAGATTATCAATAGGTTTAGTAACTAAAAGTTTAGTTCTAATTAGTTATCCTAAGTAACCCAATAAAAATATTTTACATTTGTAAATACCCAATATGCAAATAGAGTTGGAATAATACCATAGTTTTTGCAAATTCATATTAGCATGTAGTGTTCCATCCTTTGTACTGTGACTATTTTCAGATGTTCCGTGAAAGAATCAGAGATGCCTTTGCAGATTCCAGTGATGAGAATTTTCATTATAGGGGCTGTATTTCTCTTACATAACACGAATGATCCTGAATACTTAATTTATTTAACACATACTTACTGAGTGCCTGTGTCTCAGGTAATGAAGCGAGTATTAGGAACAGAGAGTGGTAAGCAAGACAGAAGTCTTCCCTGCCCTCACAGAGGTTGTTGTATAGCAGTGAAGACAGGCTAGTGCAATACAGCTTAGTGCATGGCATGTTGGAGGAGACCAGGATGGCCTGGGGATAGGTAGCAGGTTGACCTAACCCACGGGCAGGGAAGCATTGAGGAATGTTCCCCAGGGATGAGATACCAACTGAAGAATGAGTCAGTGCAAGCCATGGTATTGTTAGGGGAGTATTCCAGGTAGAAGAACCAGCATGGCAGTTGTTGGAAGTGAAGCATACCAGGATGAATTCAAGGAACTGAAAGACGATGAGTGAGGTTGGAGTGCAGAGTGTAAAGAAAGAAGTGTTCAGAGATAAGGAAGAGGCCAGTTTACTTATATGGAGAAATTTACATTTTTCCCCCTAAAAGATTAAGAATACTAGCAAGAGAGAGATAGAAGCTGGGGAAAAATAGTGAAGTGGTGGCAGGGTGTGTGAGTTCCATTGTCAAAGCTAAATGGAGCTGGGCACTGAAGTGGTAAGGATTGATCTTATTCAATAATACTCCTGCAGTAGGGAAGAGTCCGGTGTGAATTGAACTTGACTTCATTTTGGCATAGATGACTGGGTGTTTTAAAGGGAGTATGAGGAAACAGGGAAAGGGAATGAGCTGGGGAAGGAGAGCGAGTGAGATGTGGTTATGTGAAACCCATGTGGGTTTACTAATTGTTTGCTAATACCACATTTCAAAGAGTCAGCTCTCTGGTCCTTAAAAAGACAATTTTGGGTGATAGATTTACATTCCAAAGGGGCAGAAAAAGTCTTTATAATTGCAAGCTTTCTAAAGTAACTGTTCTGTCACCAAATTTTGACTGGAATGGTGAATCCTGGCAGCACCAAGCTTTCTCAGGTAGGTACTTTTAGTGGGGCTGGGGTCATCCTAAGGATGCAGCCTTGAGCTGTTAGAAACTATGCTAGTGGGCTTGCTTCTAAGTAGGGAGGGTGGACAAAATCATTTTTACTCAAAGTCTGTAGGTTTTTATAGGTCAAAGTTGAGAACTAGTCCAGAATAGGGCTCAGAGAAACCTGATGAGAATTTGGTCAAGGACATGGGGTAAAATGGGATGGTGATGGGTCAAAAAATTAATATGTAGGGAGTAGTTGTGTGAGAGAGAAGGTATCAAAGAATAAAATGCCTGACTTTCGGATATCAGATGTGGTGGTCTTCTGGGTGATGGCAAGATCCTATGTATGGCTATAGAAGGTGGGTAGCAGAAGGGAGAAGGTCTTTGGAGATGAAGAGATCAAGGAACAGAGTTTGGGAAAAAGTTGTCCACGTGAATGTTGAAATCTAAGATAACAGCAAGATTAGCCATAGAGGACAACAAGGATCCAGGTGTCCGAGATTGCAAGGAATGGTGATTGGGAATTGTGAAGTTTATAGATGGCTTAGATTGAAGACAGACAGTGGTAAAGCCCTAAGGAAGCAAAGAAGAACTTCTGAACCCTGAACCCTGAGGTATATGGTCCATGGTTGGATGTGGCAGAAAAAGGTCAGCCCCCAAATGAGGGAGCTGCAGGGGAATAACAAACAGCCAGCCAGGTTTCATTTTAGTGTATGAAGGAAATGTTAAGCAAGGTGGTTAGAAACAGAAGTACTAAGAAACTTTTCTGAGGACAGTGAAAAATTGAGATGTAGGGGAGCATTTGGAATGTAGGTCAGAGAAAGCTCAGAATAGTAGTGAGCTGGGACTGTAACAGAGTATTCTACCTCGGGCTGTGAGCAAGGGTGGCAGAGATGTGTGGCATTGTGCATTTGGCTGGCCATGAGAGGGAGATGTGAAAGGAAATACTTGGAATGACATCTAGTTTAATATTGCATTTTCATATCTCAAAAGACTTGTTGGTAGTATATAATGCATGTCTTAGTCTGTTCAGCTGCTGTAACAAAATATCATAGACTGAGTAGCTCATAAATAACAGAAATTTATTTCTCAGAGTTCTAGAGACTGGAAAGTCCAAGATCAAGGTACCAGCAGATCAGTTTCTGGTGAGGGCCTATTTCCTGGTTCCTAGATGGCACCTCACATGGTGGAATGGGTAAAGGGTCTCTTACCCATGTACTCACACAGTGGAAGGGGTAAGGGGTCACTCTCAGGCCCTCATGAACTTATCATCTCCTGAAGGCCCCATCTTCTAATACCATTGCCTTGCGGGTTAGGATTTCAACATACAAATTTGGGGGAGAGACAAATATTCATACCATAGCAACCTAAGACCCAGTGTCTATAAACCTGTTCATTCATATTAGGAAATTTTTATATTTATTAATCAAACAAGTTAATAAGTACCAATCTTTTTACTGTCTTTAAAAAGAACACTATGTCTTT